AATTGATAAATCAATTACCAATATACACTTACAGGGAACCAAATAAACAGCCTTATTATGTATCTCGAAGCGAACGTTCGTTTCGTCTGCCAGACGTTTCGTTCGTGCGTTGGTAGTATGTAAGTCGAAATCGTCTGGCAGCACGAAAACAGCTGATCGTTACGTAGTTGTTCGTCTAGTTTGGAATTTTTTAACGCGAATAGGAGACGAAAGTGAGACGACAATCGTTGAAAACAGACGAAAGGTTATTAGTGACCGTTAAGATGGAGGGTTCTGCCAGAAAAAGTAAGAAGATAAAAAAATATAACTTGATTTAAGAAAATATATTAATATTTATGCTTGCAGCGTTGAAAAAAACTACAACCACACAATTTGAGGTATTAGTTAAAGAAATGGAGAGAAATCCTGACCTGGCCAGAGGTGTTGCAGTGTTTGGTTCTGATCGAGGAAGGGTAGAGGAGCGGTGGGAGGAAATTATGAGGAAAATTAATTCTCATGGTCCACCTACAAGAACGGCCGTCGAATGGAAGAAAGTAAGCATATGTACATACATTGTATGTCGTAGATAAATGTTTTCACACTATTTCCATTTTACTGACATTGAATTCTATTTTTTTTTTCAAGATATGGGCTGACTTGAAAAGCCGGACAAAAAAAAAGATTGCCGAAAATACACGGAGCCTTACTGCTACCGGTGGTGGCCCATTCCGCCGCTCTCCGCTTTCCGAAATGGAGCAGACCATAGACAGCCTTGTTTTTATTTCAAGGTCAGCGGCACCGAGCGGCAGAGTTTTCGGCATTCCTTCGACGGCGACTTCAAACGCATCCAGACATTCGTCGATTGAGGAAATGCCTCCTTTACTTGTGCCAGAATCGCCGACACTAGATGAACGAAGGCAACCAACAACCCTTCAGTCCCCTATAAGGCACAACCAACCACCACCAGTGGGAGTAGTGACTCCCACTACACAGACAACCCGCCCTACACCAACGCACACGTTACGTTCCACAAATAGGAAGCGCATCTTCCAAGAGACAGTGGCTGAATCTGCCAAAATCCAAGCCGAAGCCGCTAAAGCGCAGGCTGAGGCTGCAAAAAAAATGGCAGAGGCATCAATGCTGCAGGTGTAAGCCACAAATAAATTAGCTGCTGCAGTGGAACGCCAATCTGCAATTTTTGAAAAATTTTTGGAATACTTCCACAACTAATTTGCATAGTGATTGTATTGAAGTGATATTTTGTTTTTTTTTGTGTAATTTAAGTGTGAATTAATGTTTTGTTGCATTTTTTTTAGTATTTATGTAGGTTTAAGACTGAAAAGATACTTTGTTTTTTTGTGTAAATATTTTTTAGATTTAAGTGTGAATTAATATTTTGTTGCATTTTTTTAGTAATTATGTAGATTTAAGATTTAAGACTGAAAATATATTTTGTTGAATTTGTATGTAAATATTTTATTAGTTTTAAGACATAAATGAATTTTGCTAGAGTACCTGAAATCTAGACACACATACTTTATAATAAAACTGCGTTTATAACAAACTCTCTGCTATTCTCATTCTAATAAGGGCAGCTGTATTCGAAATGTTACTGTTTTCAAGTTCTTCTTCGTAACTAACAAGATTCTCCATATCTGGGATCTCCAATGGAATTTGATGTTTGAAAAATATACAAACGTTATGAATAGCACAGCACACATTTACAATTTGTGTTACTTTTTCCGGTGAATAATGTAGTCCTCTCGAGCCAATTATACATCGAAATCGGTTTTTCAAAACACCGAAACATCTCTCAATTACATTACGAGCTTTCGAGTGCTTTGTGTTGTAATTTCGTTGAATTCCATCGGCTGCGCTTCTGAATGGCGTCATCAAGTATGGCTGCAAGGGGTAACCAGAATCACCTACA